AACCACTCTTCCTACCTTGGATGAGGCTATTGCAGCTATGGCACAGGAGGAGCTTAAGAAGAAAGTATTGCCTAGTGTCACACCATCTTCACCAAGTGCCACATATGTAGTTGCACAAAGTAAAGAGACTAGGGAGTGCTTCAATTGTGGTGAAATGGGGCACCTTATGCGTGATTGCCGTGCTCCTCGCAAGCCTAGTTATGGGAGAGGAAGATTTGGTGACAGGGGTGGAGCAAGAGGTGGAAGAGGTTATGCAGGTAGAGGTAACAGAGGTAGGGGTTATGAGTATAGAGGTGATCACAGAGCTAATGTGGTCACTCTTGAAGAGGGTTCTTCTGGACCTACAAATGTTGATGTTGCCAACCTTGTTCATTCTACCTCAGGTAATTCAAACCAAGCATTTATGTCTATCAATAGCTCTCATTCAAATTGGATACTTGACTCGGGTGCATCTAGACATGTCACGGGTATGTGTGGAGAATTTGCATCATATAAACCATACCCATTTACACGAAAAGAAACAATTCAAACTGCTGATGGAACATCATGCTCAGTTAAGGGAGAGGGTACAGTACAGTGTACTCCTTTAATCACTTTATCATCAGTGTTATATGTCCCTTCTTTTCCAGTGAATTTGGTTTCAATAAGTTCTCTTGTTGATCATATGGATTGTCAGATCTCCCTTGATCGTGAGAATTGTTTAATTCAGGAGAGGCAAATAGGGAAGAAACTTGGGATTGGCGTCAGGCGTGATGGACTTTGGTATTTGGATCAAAAGGAGACAAGTGAAGATGTATGTCTTGCATTGATGGCTTCTACAAGTGAAGAAGAGGCTAAGGTATTACTTTTGCATTGTCGACTAGGGCATATATCTTTTGAAACTATGAGTAAGATGTTCCCAACAGAACTAAGTAGAGTGGATAAACATAAGTTAGTATGTGATGCATGCGAGTATGGAAAACATACAAGAACATCATATGTGAGTAGAGGACTCCGAAGTATGTTACCATTTATGCTAATTCACTTAGATGTTTGGACTTCACCTGTGGTCTCTATGAGTGGAATGAAGTATTTTGTTACCTTTATTGATTGCTACTCTCGCATGACATGGTTATATCTTATGAGGCATAAGGATGAGGTGCTTAAATGCTTCCAGGATTTCTATGCATACATTAAAAATCATTTTAATGCTCGGGTTCAGTTTATTAGAACTGATAATGGAGGGGAGTATATGAACAATGAATTTAGTAGCTTTCTTTCATCAGAAGGAATATTGCATCAAACTTCTTGTCCTGATACTCCTCCACAAAATGGAGTAGCTGAGAGGAAAAACCGTCATCTTTTGGAGACAGCTCGATCATTGATGTATACTATGAATGTACCTAAATTCTTGTGGAGTGAGGCAGTAATGACAGCAACTTATCTTATCAACCGCACACCATCAAGGATACTCGGAATGAAGACACCATGTGAGATGATATTTGGAAAGAATAAATTTGGTGTTCCACCAAAAGTGTTTGGTTGCACTTGTTTTGTTAGAGATCATAGACCTTCCATTGGAAAACTTGATCCTCGGGCTGTCAAATGCATCTTTGTAGGCTATTCATCTTGCCAGAAGGGGTATAAGTGTTGGAGTCCATTAGAACGACGAACCTTTGTAAGTATGGATGTTACTTTTAGAGAATATGTCCCATTCTATGGTGAGAAGACAGATTTAAGTTCTTTATTCATTGATCTTGATGATTCAACTAGTGGTTATGATGGTCAACAAATGGAAGGTGAAATATTGGGTCCAAAGGGAGATGAACAATCAAAGAAGGAAAAGCTTGTGATTGGTTCAATTCCATGTCCTATAGGTGGTCCTGTTGCACAGGAGCAAGAATGGAGGAAGCCACATGAAGAGGAAAATCTTCAAGTATACACAAGGAGAGCAAGGTGTCCAGTAATACAACAAGTTGAAGAGGATAATCAGGTAGAGGAAGATGTAAGTCATGAGCAAGGGTCTTTGGAGTCAGGGGGAGAAGATGAAGAAGTTAGAGAAAAAGGATCTGACATGCCAATTGCTGTCAGAAAAGGTGTAAGGAGCAATGCAGGTAAACATCCACTAAGGTATGGTTTTGAAGATCAACATGAAGGTGATGATGAGAATAACATATCCAACTATGTTTCTTATGACTCTTTGTCATCTACATATAAGGCCTTTGTAGCATCACTAGACTCAATGCAAATTCCAAAGGATTGGAGAGAAGCAAAGCAAGATTCAAGGTGGCATCAAGCTATGCTAGATGAGCTAGAGGCTCTTGAAAAGAACAAAACATGAGATCTTGTACCATTTCCTGAAGGGAAGAAAGTTGTCAATTGTAAGTGGGTATACACAATAAAGCAAAACCCTGATGGAAAGGTGGAAAGATACAAAGCAAGGCTTGTGGTTAAGGGATATAGTCAAACATATGGAATTGATTATGATGAAACTTTTGCACCAGTAGCAAAGATGAGCACGGTAAGAACTCTTATATCTTGTGCAACTAATCTTGACTGGCCATTGCATCAGCTAGATGTCAAGAATGCCTTTTTACATGGAGACCTTCAGGAAGAGGTATATGGATATCCCACCTGGATTTGCTACCTCACAAACTAAAGGAAAAGTGTTGAGATTGAAGAAATCTTTGTATGGTCTCAAACAGTCACCGAGAGCATGGTTTGATCGTTTTAGACGTGCAATGTGTGGTATGGGCTATAAGCAATGTAATGGCGATCATACAGTATTCTATTGCCATAAGGGATGTCACACTACTATTCTTGCTGTGTATGTGGATGATATGATTATCACATGGGATGATTCTATAGAGATAGCAAGATTGAAAGAAAATCTAAGTAAGGAATTTGAAGTCAAGGATTTGGGTCAGTAGGCATCGAGATTGCAAGATCCCCTAGAGGGATAGTACTTTCACAACGAAAGTATGCATTGAATCTGCTCAGTGACACAGGTATGCTTAGTTGTCGACCGGCCTCTACACCAATTGAGCAAAATCTTAAGCTTTGTGCTGAGTCGGGAGATCCAGTGAATAAGGAGAGATATCAAAGACTTGTAGGGCGGCTGATATATTTATGTCACACAAGGCCGGATATAACTTATGCAGTAAGTGTGGTAAGTCGATACATGCATGACCCTAGAAGTGGTCACATGGATGCCGTGTATAGGATCTTGAGATATTTGAAAGGTAGTCCTGGCAAAGGCTTGTGGTTTAAGAGAAGTGGTCATCTTAGTTTGGAAGGCTATTGTGATGCAGATTGGGCTAGCAGTCTTGATGATAGAAGGTCAACCTCTGGGTATTGTGTATTTGTTGGTGGCAATTTGGTGTCTTGGAGGAGTAAAAAACAACCTGTGGTTTCTCGCTCAACAGCTGAAGCAGAATATAGGGCAATGTCGGTGGGTCTGAGTGAGATGTTATGGTTGAGGAATCTTCTATGTGAGTTGAAGTTGTTGAAGAATACTTGCATGAAGCTATGGTGTGACAATAAGTCAGCTATCAATATTGCCAACAATCCTGTTCAACATGATCGAACAAAACATATAGAGATAGATCGTTTCTTTATAAAGGAAAAACTAGATGAGGGAATGTTGAAGCTAGACTTTGTAATATCTGGAGAACAAATAGCGGATTGTCTAACAAAGGCTTTAGGTGTTGCAGAGTGTTTGTCTATGTGTAACAAGATGGGCATGATAGATATCTATCGCCCATCTTGAGGGGGAGTGTTGGGCTGTAAATGTAGAAGTATGTCTATCTAGGCCCAAGAGGCACATATATCCATATGTACATGTATATGTTCAGTTGATAGAGTAATGAAAAAGAAGTGAAGCTTCCAGAGAAAACAAACACAAAAAACTTCAAAATATACTCCTAGACAAGTTGAGAATTTATCCTAGAGGATGCTAATTGATAAGATTCGCAAGAGTACGAGTTGTACTATATGCAAAATCAATAAAGCAACCACAAGTATTACTACTCCATCCGTTCTATTTTAAGTGCAATCATAAGTTTAGTTTTCGTGTCCAACTTTAATTGTCCGTCTTATTTAAATTTTTTTAATAATTAGTATTTTGTTGTTATGAGATAATAAAACATGAATATTACTTTACATGTGACTTATGTTTTTATTTTTTAAAAAAATTAAATAAGACGAACGGTCAAAATCATGCACGGAAAATCATGACCGCACTTAAAATGGAACAGAGGGAGTACAAAGTAAAGCCATTTGTTCAGAGGAAAATATGTAAAATCTGTCATTCAGAAAAGATCGAATACTAGTACTGTGCTCTTCCCGACTCACATCCTTCTTTTTCCGCGACGTACGCTATTTAAATTGCTAAAAAGTATTTTTCTAAAAAAAGTTTCTATATCAAAGTTGTTTTAAAAATTCATATTAATTAAAATTTTAAGTTTTTTTGGCTAATATTTGATCAATCACGTGTTAATAAACAACATTGTTTCCGTGCGTTAATGAACTCCACCTCGGGAACTCAGCCTTAGCATTAACCTGCTATGGAACAATACTCCCTCCGTCCCATAAAAAGAGCATTCTTAGCATCCCAATGCAAATTTAGTGAGGAGTAAAGACAACTAAAATGTCCCTTATTATTTAAAAAAAAATAGTAATGATGATAGATATGTAAACGGTATTTAAGGGATAAAACTTCTCGTTTTACGTGCTGAAAATAGGCAGGACAGTAGAAGTTGATTTTTTTTGACAAAATTTAAACTTCAGAAATTGAGTTTTTTTTAAGATGGAGTATATGAGAAGAGATTTTTTTTCCTTGAGATTCGGACAAGATGACAGTGATACAGTTTGAAACAGAGCTGACAAACCTCTTCCCTTTCAGTTAAGGGTTTAAGGCATCTGACATCAGATTTCAGATAACCACTTCCCTTTCAGTCAAGGGTTTAAGGCATCTGACATCAGATTTCAGATAACCAGGAAGCGTTTTGATTCTCCTCTCTAAAAAAAAAGTTCTGAATCCTACTCTTTTAATCCTTGAAAAGGCGGTGGCGCTGTTCGTTTTCTTACATCTGAAGAACAGATGAAAGGAAATCACAGCAGGTGAGACAAGTTAAACCACATCTCCGTCGATTGCATACAGAGCACAACGACGAGAGGAAACATACACGGCTCTACAATCTCGGACCAAGGACTACTCATCGATCAGAGAGAAAAAAAAATGCAGCAGATATGCAAAGATCGTTACAAGACAGATATAGAACAGAGAAGCTCAAGGCGTCATTAACCCTATGAAGCTTTGACAAGATACATTACATTAATATATATTGGCTATGCCGAATGCCGATATATCAATATCGCTGGAAGATGGATTGCACAACAGTGGCTGCCTTAGTTGGAAGAAACATGTTGATGTTGGCCATTGAGTGGAGTGACGTTTGAGATCAACAGATGCCTTCATGTGTGACTTGTCCGGAGCATCCATGGCGGAAGCTTGCTGTTGCCTGCTTGTGCCGGAGACGGTTGAGCTTCTGACTCCCCTGATCCTCTTGGTTGGCTTTGACTGAATTAAGATGAGGAAAAACAGCATAACTAAAACAGACAATGGAGTTGATGAAATAGTAGTAACATGCTAGATCATTCCTAACGTCAAGTTATTGTTCAGACATGATATATCAAGCTGAGACCAAACCATTTGGAGGCTTTTTCACTGTTTGGTTCAGGCGCTTTCAGGCCTGGGCTTATTTGTTCCAAACTTCCAATAGCCATATGAAATAGACCGGCAGCATTTGATTGAACAAATTTCACCGGATTAAGTTTCCTAGGCATAGACCATCAAAAACTACTGAACTGTGATAGATAATGGAAGTCTGATAAAAGAAAAAATATAGAATAAAAATTTGCTGAAGAACAAAACAGAGTTTTGTTTTATTTATGGTGAGTGCAGGGGCAAAATATATGGAAGTAAAAGCGGTACCTGTTATTTGTTGTCGGGATGGGATCTGGAGCCGTCACTGGTGTTGGTGATGATGTGCTTGGTGTTGCTCCATTTTGCTCCTCCCGGTTAGTGTTTATTATAGCATTGTTTTTCTCCTTTTCTGTCTCCATGAGCTGCTCCGAAGAATGTAGACAAAAGGGTTTGACCTCCAATACAGCTTTTGTAGTGATCTGATATAAAACATTGTTGTAAACAAGAATGAAATTTACCTTTTGCAGAACATTATTCTGGTTTTTAAGTGACTTTTCCTGCAGACAGGAAGATAGCAGATTGTAAGAATATTCATCAGCACGAACCTATATCAACTTCGTCCATTTCTCAGCACAATATTAACATGGCTCTGTTGCCACTTGCCAGATCAGATACAGTAACAATCAGTAGTGCAGGTCCTTTTTTTTCCCTATGTTTATGCATACATTATTGCGTAAAAGGCTAACGGTCAAGTCCTTGCCATATGCATCGAAGATTTATTTTCCCGTAGAATGTTCAATTTTACAACGTAGTCTGACTTAGTCTGTTCTCTCTCCCCTAGAATATATACATTGATGGCGACTTTCCTGTTATACCCATTTGACAACATTGTGCATTTCCCACAATATGACCAAGACAAGTGGCTTCTCGTTAGTTCCTTAGGTGATTCAAATTGACTAATGATTTCTTCTTATAATGGAATTTCTAGAATTGCCAAAAGACATGTTTTACATGAATATATTCTGGTAGAAGGCAAGAAGAGTTAGTTGTCTGAAAATTGTTTGAATGCAACTTTAATACTCCAAAACAATATGGTATAAACAGACTGCTACATTGCTATTTAAGGAGCCACATTGAGGGTAACCTACCTTCTTCTGAAGCTCAGAAATTGATTCAAACAGAAGCTGATTCTGCAAAAGAAAAACAAAAAGGAAAGTAATGATGTTTTCAAAGATTAGTTGGAAATAATTAAATCAAGCAAATTTGATCCCTCAGTCAACAGTGCATAATGGACACAAATTTCACCTTTTTTGATCTTATATGCTTCAGAGAATATTCCAGTTGATGTTCCAATTGCTGGAGTTCTTTTATTGTTAGTGTGTCCAATTGTTCACCTAAGAGTTGCCTTGAGCAGTAGATAGACCAACTCAAGTTAGCATAATCTTGTTACCAAAGTGAAAATTTCTTAAGAAAGTTTGCAGTACCTTTGGCTCTTCTGAAGTGCATCCAGTTTGGACTTCAAAATTCCATATTCATCACCCCAGTTTTCCTAGGAGAAAATGAATATCAAGATCAGATAACTAACCAGCTAGTTAAATAAACAGCCGGAGATAGTTCTCCAACAGTCAGGGATGTTTTTTTACCTGGTCCTCAGTATTTGGCTCCAGTACGGCTCTTTCATCAAACGAGTAACGCTGGTAGCGTTCAAGGATCCCTTCCATACTACAGAAGAAGTATCACATGATTATGCTTTGGTTTGACCAATGCATCAAAAGATGATGCCAAGCATAGTCTTAGAGCAATATCAAACAAATGCACAGTTATAATTTTTGTACCCTCAATAATTCTTAAGGCTTGTCAGGTGACAACTACAAAAGTAGGATCCATTATTCAAATTATCCATGTATAAATTTAAATCATAACTGCTACAAAAATTATGCATCAGAAATAGCACTTTGAAAAACATTTGTATTTGTTGGCTGAAACTTTATCCATTCATGTTCTTCGTCGTAAGTTTATATCTAATTAGAATGATTAAAAAAAGGATTATCTGGCCTTAATAACATTAGTACATATGGTGAATCCACATTACTCCCTTCGTTAACAAATAAAAGTCGTTTTGAAATGTGTAATCAAATCTCAACATCAACTCACTGGAGAATGGATTCTAAACTCTCAAGGGAACATCCCCTCGTTTTTTGCATGTCATCTAAATGGTTATGATTTTTTTAAAAAAAAATCGACAAGATAGATTAATATGTGATAGATTACTTCACAAACATGCAAGTTCAAATTCAACTTCTACAAGTTACAACAAAAAAAAATTAAACTATGGCTAGTTAATGTATATTCACGGTCAAATTTAATTTTTTCATTGCAACTTGTAGAATTTGAATTTGTCCTTGCATGTTTGTGGAGTGATTTATCACATATTAATCTATCTTGTTTATTTTTTTTCAATTTTTTTCACAACCGTTTGGATAACATGCAGATAATGAGGGGATGTCCCCTCGAGAGTTTAGAATAGTTCCCAACTCGGTGTATAAAAATAACATTCATAGATTCATAATTGAATAATGTAGTTATATTTTAACTATTTTATGAGTAGATGATCATACAAAGAAAGATGTGTGTTAGGGATAATGTCAATATCCTAGACAAGAAATAAAAAAAGGAACAGAAGGAGTATTTGGTAGCATAGAAGTAGCTTGACCTTAATACTAACACAATAATGAGAGAGTATTGTTGCCTATCCAAAAATTTTGCAAATTTGAAATTATATTTATCACAAAAGGCATCATTTAGGTCCCTTTTTTCCCTTACGAGCTACTGATATTATGCTCCCTCCATTTCATAATACTTGGTGATTTTAAGTTCGCATTGTTTTAGTTTGGCCATTCCAATTTTATAAATAAACTTTTAGTATTAGATTATGTAACATATTATTAAAGTATGTTACATGGTAATGGTAAATATAGAGATATAAATCCCATCCATCATAATCATAAATTTTAAAAGATATTAATGGTTAAACTGAAGCAATCACCGGTCAAAATTGCCAAATATTATGAAATAATAGAGTATAGGAATACCAATAATGAAATATTTAAATTCCTCCCATTAAACAAAAGATATTAGCATAAACATAAGCAGTTTGCTTAATTGAAAACCATAAACATGGTTATACTTGAACAGTATAGCTATGTCAATCAGTTTATTGTTGTCCTAAAAAATCCATTTCAAGAAATAAACACCCCAATTTGTGAGAGCAAGTTAATAGCAATGGGCAATGGCAACTTGCACCATGTATAGCTAACTTGGTGACAGTACACACTAAAGGGACAAAAGAAAGTTGTAGTTTCAGTTAAAGCAAGGCCGGGTATTAATTTACTTCCCATTATCTTAAAAAAAAAAAGGGAAATGAAACCGAATGCATCAAATGAACAAGTTAAGTAAGCTGGTCACCTTATATTCCACCTCGAAATTAACTAAACAAAAGTATCAAACCATATGTCATGTAAAGCTGGCCGCGCCATTTATACCAGTCCAGGAGTTGTCAGTAACTTAAGACCTTACTGGCCTGGTTAGAGGAGCCGCTTAATTAGCAAGGCGTCCGTGCATATTTCAACTGAAGTGCTGCTCTAATGATTTCCAGAAATAACGAGACAAATAATACAAGTTTACCGGCCTAGCTAGGCTTTGGTAATAAGCATCACTTGTATATGCTACAGTACACAAGAGTATAAGCATATGATAAACCTAGATAAGCACACTAATTAAAATTTAAACATATCTTTCTTTCCGCCCGTACTGATGAAGCACATGAATTTTTTTTCACCTATTATTCCATTCCTTTTTATACAAAAAAAAATGGAAGTGAACGTGTTCACCAATGCTACGATGATTGATGAGTCCCCAAGAACAAAACTGAGCAGCATATAAAGCTAAATCAGCAACAGTGCATGTACCACCACTGTATATTACTAGCTTCTGATATGCATGGCAGCAGCAGCAGCAGCATGCCAGCATCACATAGAGAGCTGTAATCCAGGGGACACAAGCAACCTACAACTAGCTAGACTTCGCGAGCAACTCCATCCCGAGCTAAGCAGCAATCGCACGAACGAACACGTACAAAGCCATGAACCGTATGTGCAATCAGAGAGCACATGAGAGAAATCAATCAGCACGAAATAATAGCAATCGTACACGCACCAACACCACCAGCCCCCTCGCATTCCGCAGCGGAAACGATCGAACACAAGGCAGGAACCCGTACGAAACGAAATCGAACGCATCAACAAGCCGCCCAGGAACGGGGAGCTCCGCGAGCTCGCCCATGGCGCGCGCGCGGCGAGGAAAGGCGACGGGCATGGGCCGTACTACGTAGGTAGGCGGGAGGTCGCGGAGAGGAGGAGGAGGAGGAGGAGGAGCTAAGCGCGTGCGTACCTGGAGTGGCTGGAGAACTCGTAGAGCTTGCCCTTGGTGGAGAAGACGATGAGCGCGACGTCGGCGTCACAGAGCACGGAGATCTCGTGCGCCTTCTTCAGCAGCCCGTTCCTCCGCTTGGAGAAGGTCACCTGCCTGTTTATCTTGTTCTCGATCCGCCGCAGCTGCACCGGCCCTCTCCCCATCGTCGTCGGCGGCGGCGGCGGCGGCGAAGGCGGCGGTGGCGGTGGCGGGTGGAGGGTGGAGAGCTCGGGGAAGATGGAAATGGGGGGAGGAAGAGAGAGGGAGGGGGAGGGAAGGCGGTTTTAGATGGGGGTGGAATGCGGTGTGGCCATACCAGGGCGGTTTCGAGTGCCTCGTTGTCGATTTCCGATTGGCCGAGGCGGTTTCGGGGCGGCGTGGAGGGATCCCGGCCGTCGGATCAGGAGAGAGGTCGTTACCGCGGCCCTGGCCCGGTGGGGCCCACGGGCCACGCGGCGCGCGCGAACCCGTGCACCCGCGGGCTCGCGCTCGGGATTGGTCGGTGGGTCGGATGGGGCCCGCTTGTCTGTGACTGCGGGTGCGGTGGGCTCGCGTGAGGGATGGGTTTTTCTTTTTCCACAACGTAGGGGGGTGTCGGGTACAAGGAAACGAGACGCCGGATGACACGTGGCGAGCCCACGTGTGGTCGTCGAAGCGGGCGGGTGGGGCCCACCTGCCAGTACAGGTTTTTCTTTTATTTTATTTTTTTCTTTTTAGAAATTCCGATACGATACGAGTATTTCTGTTTGTACTACTCAACTCCGTATAGCCGCCAAACTGTTTGGCACCGAGTACTACCTAGTAGTACAATACACGTACTGGGAGTACCAGCGTTTGTTTGTTGGTGTTGAAAGATTTTTTTTTCTTTTTTTTAAGAGAGTTCGTGTTGCAACAATAGAAGGAGCGGACAACAAGACCGTAGAAAAAGGCTAGACTTTTTTTTTTTAAGATACTCCCTCCGGTTTCATTTTAATTGACGCTTTGGACAATGACACGCTCTACAAGATATACCTTGGATCTTATTTTTCTATTATAATATATACAATAAATAAATACATGTTTACTTTTATTACAGTGTTTTGAAAGACAAATCTATATATGTTTTTCTAGTTTCTTTAAACTAAATATTTTTAAAGTTATTGATGGTCAAAGTTATAAAAGTTTAACCTTAACCTTGTCTAAAACATTAATTAATATAGAACCAAAGGGAGTAATAGATTAACTGGTCTCCACAGCCCAAGAAAAATGAACTACCTTGTGGCTTTGTATTGCTATGCTACCGTGGTTGATTGCAAAATTGCAGATAGGTAAATGACCTTTGGCTACACACAGGGGCGGAGCTACCATGATTCCTGGGTATTCCCGGGAATACCCAACTTTTTTATCAAAAAACAAGTATACTTTTAGTATATACACATGTACACATATTAGTGCACCTAAATCCTCAATTCTTCGATCCAAACACAGTCCAACTGGCCTCTTGCAACGCCTCCTACCAACCCGACCCACTCCGTCATGACCCATCAGACATCAGCTGACCCACTTAGCCACCACTCTTCCATACGGCCCCCTCTCCCTCTCCCTCCGTGACCCATCCCTCCCTAGCTCGGTTCCCTCGCGCCGCTCCCCATTTCCAAACCCCAGGTGGCGGCGCGGCGAGGCGGCAACCGGCGGCGGAAGCTGGACCGTGCTACCGCGGAGGGGTGGCGCCCGCCACTCCGCCAAGCTCAGGCGGTCAGGCCGATTGGGTGGCCGGTGGCCGCGAGGGGCAGGGGCAGCTAGCGGCTCAGCGCTTAGACGGAAATACCCAACTTTAAAATCCTGGCTCCGCCACTGGCTACACAAACGAATGTTAGCCATGTCTAAAAGGATTACCATGTTAAATTCATGTTGAAATATTTTTTTAAAGATAATGGAAAATAATCATGGCCTTTAACAAACAAGCGATGGAGCCATTTCAACGAAAAATATGTATAAATTAGAGCAACCTTTGATAAACAAACTATGAAAATATACATATTGGTTTGCTCTCACCTTCCTTTTGTTTTGGATTATACTCCTCTATCCCAAAAATAAATCAAACTCCAGAGATCAATCTGGACACATGTGTATCCAGATTTTTATTTTTATTTTTTTTGTGAGGGGGGAGGGGGGGCTACGGAGTGAGTACACGAAAGACGCGTGGGCATGCAGACCACACTCCCACATCCATGAATACCTCCCACTCCCAATGCTCACACACCCACAAATGTGCCTCTCACTCGCAAACCAGAAGCACATCCCTGGTCCCACTATAATGTTATTGAAAGTACATCCGTGTGTGTGGAATGTTTATTGGAACCAGAATTTGAACCATATTAGCTATTTCTGAAGTCACGTACCCACGACTTCACCACCACACAGACGATGTTTTCCCACTACTGTTTGTATTTTCCTTAGATCTTGTGCAAAGGTTGCATCTTGCATGAGATCTAGGCGATTTATCATCTCTCCCCTTGCATATATCCTCCACCTTATCATTCAATGTTACAAGCAACGTGGAAAGATTCAAGGTGTTTTATGACATGGTAGGCTATCTCATGGATAAAAGTTATCGGGACTATCACTTAAGATGATGTGGTAGGAGTAAAAAACAATAGCGATGTCTTCACACATGCAGCTAGCATGAAAAAAATAGAGTAAATATAATGGCACCAAACGCATATACTTGATTAGCATACTTAGGGGTGAAAACAAGTCGGGCCGAGCTAGGCTCTGCTGAAATTAGCATCACAAGCTAAAAGAGTAGCTCGGCTTGGCTCAACTTCTTCTTGACCTCTAGTTGGCTCGTGAGCCTATGAACAAAAAATACTTTCAGAGATGAAGAGGAGTGAGAGGATATTGGAGGAGCCGACGAGAAGAGTGGCAACTAGGAGTCGAGACCAACAAGGCGCGCGACAGGTCATTGGGCACCAGCCGCACCAACTTTGCGAGAGGTGAGTGGCAACTCGCACATTGTGCTTGTTAGCACAAGCTAGCGACACCAAGGAGCAGCGACTTTCTATAGTTTGGTCAAGCAGAGAGGCAACACGACGAGTTGGTGGAGGCTAGAGATGCCTTCAATTGGTGGAGTCGACATGCCTACGTGCAGCCTCAAGTATGACATGTGTTGAACCGAAGAAAGCAGTGTTGTGGGTAGGAGCATGGCTGAGATAGGGAATAGGAGACAGGGTGCGAGGAAAGGTTGGGAACTTCGGCTTTCTTTAACTAGATTGACCACTAGACTAATAATGTGCTATGAGTTAAATGAGTGGGCTCGCCAGCTAGCTTGGGCTATACTCATTCTCGAAACGTGTTGTCTTATGAGTGAAACCAAGCCATGTGAGACTAAATGGAGCTCACAAGTTCGAGATCTTTGTCCACCTCTCACACAAAAACTGATGAGTAGTTGTATTAGTATGTGCTTTCTGTTGAAATGAAAAATGTATAAGGTGAATTAGTTTGAGTTCTTTTCAGCAATAATGACAATTTTCTTATTTTCCGTTATCATACTTTCCAAATAGTTAAACATTGTGTTTTGTGAAAAAAAAATATTTACATATTTTTTAAAAAAAATCAAAGAACTCTACTTTTTAAGTTTATAATGGCTAATAATCATGCTCTAATGGTTGTTCTAGTTATACGAGAACATGCAACCTGCCTTCTCAAACGAAGCCTTACTCACTACTAAAAAATGGTTTTTCTGTCGGCCAAAATCAGTCTTTGATTTTTGCCAGCCTTACTCACTACTAAAAAATGGTTTTTTCTGTCGGCCAAAATCAGTCTTTGCTGATTTTTGCTGGCAGTTAGGTTAACCGCCTGAAACCAAAGGGTAGAGAAAATAAACGTTTTCACATTCGGAACTTAACCGCCAGCCAAAAAACATATTTTCGTTGGCGGTTCTGTTACATGGGCTGCTGGCAACAGTCCATTTTTGCTTACGTAGTGTTAAGACGACCGCCAGCGAAGCTCTTTTTTGGTTAAAAAAATTGAAAATATGTTAATGCATCTGTTCTCTGACCACCAGCAAAGAAAATTAAAGAAAAATTGAAAATTGCCAGATACAACAACCCTGCATTCCCATTCCACATTGCAAATCAAATCCAAGAACATGCCACAAATACAAGCACAAATTCCACAAAATATAAGCAAATCTCAACTATTGAACATGCACAATCGCCGATGCTAGATCTGCCCTCCCGATGCACGCTGCACATGGTCTTGGGCCTCGCCAATGACCGGCTTGCGGCGGCCTCCTCCTCCTCGCGGTCACTGCCACCATCGAGGTCGTCGTCTCCTCCTTGCCCTTGTCATCCCCGCACAGATCTGGCAAGAACGAGGCCGGATCCGCGCCGATAGAGGTGGCGGCGGCTCGATCTCGCCGGTGGAGAGGGGAGAGAGCTCGACACCGCCAATCTCGTCACCCTCTGTGGGAAGGAGCTCGTCACGGCGGTGGGGAGGGAGCCCGTCACGGCGGCCGGATATGATGCCCACGGCGCCTCCCGCTGTCTGCGCTGTCGAAGAAAAGGAAGGCAAGACGGGGACGGAGTTGGATCCGGCCCCCGCCACCGCCAAACTGGATCCAGCCGCTGCCTCCTCCGCCACCTCCATGCCCACATGCTTCACAGGCTCCAGGCCCACCGCCGTTGTCCCCTCAAGCGCGCCGCTGCCCCCATGCATGAGCTCACCGTGGACGAACCGCAGCCGCCACCCACCGGTCGTCTCCCCTCCGCCCAGATCTGGGCCTCCTATCGCAGCGCGCGGGGGAGGGGGAGGGGGAGGGGGGAGGCCCGGCTTTTGCGCGCGTCGATTTCACAGTCGCCGCAGTCGCGGTCCGCTATCGCCGTCATCTTATCCGCCGTGTCAGCTGAGAGCCGAGAGGTGGGGTGAGATGAATCTGGAGGGAGGTGGTGAGGAGAAGAGGATAAGATGGAGTGACTAGTCAGTGGATAAAATGGAGTCCGCACTTGGTGTTTTAATATAGCGAATAACTTCTTGCGGTCGGCGCTCCTTGGCAACCACCAGCGAAATTTTGATTTTATCTAGTGGTCACTTAAGAGGCCCGCTTTAAAAAGACCTCTATTTTTACAAGCGGTTCTCTTATCCCGGCCGCTAACGAAAATGAATTTTTTCGCTGGCAGTTCTTAGCACCTCATCCCTCGTTAAATTTTCGCTGGCGGTTTTCGCTTATAGACGTCAGAGAAAAAAAATAGATAAACGCCATGAAAAATCGATTTTCTAGCGGTGACT